GGCTCTTGGAGAAGGAGCCCATTTTTGCCAAACTTCACACTGAGTTCGCATTACTTCCTGTAGGTAAGAAAACTGGAGGCATAACATTCCATGAAGTCAAGTGATTAATGCCATAGCGCCCTATGTCCACAGCTATCGCTTTAACATGCTTAACGCATGATAATTTGGTCCTTGGTCATACTGCATATGGCCTAACCTATTCCTGCCTAACCTCTTCTGGCCTAACCTACACATATGTTGCAACATTTTTGAACCCAAAACAAACCTGAACGGACTTACACTAACCTCATTGGTTGCAGGAAGTTATAGAGGCCGGGCAAGTGAGCAGGTAGAGCCAGTCATTGGCTACAATAAGGTTGTTGGGCGGTGCAACGTGAATAGGTTAGGCCAGAAGAGGTTAGGCTGGAGGAGGTACAGCCGGATGAAGGACTGCCTGCTTATGAGCGTGCATACTTAAGCATTGGCTGACGACCTACGAAATTATTACCACTAAGCAGCGTATCACTGGTCTGGATTACTGCGTTCAGCGTAGTTTGCAGCTTCTTGTTCTGTGGCTGAGAGAAGTTGGTGAGGCTGGGCGCTGTCACCGGGGCTTATTTAAGAGGAAAATTTGCGTCTCACGGCTGCGCCTCGAAGGTGGTAAGTGGTCAGGTTGTAAGTGGACAGGTGGTAAGTGGTCAGGTGGTAAGTGGTCAGGTGGTAAGTGGTCAGGTGGTAAGTGGACAGGTGGTAAGTGGTTAGGTGGTAAGTGGTCAGGTTGTAAGTGGACAGGTGGTAAGTGGTTAGGTGGTAAGTGGTCAGGTGGTAAGTGGTCAGGTGGTAAGTGATCAGTTGGTACAGTGTAAGTGGTCAGGTGGTAAGTGATCAGTTGGTAAGTGGTCAGGTGGTAAGTGATCAGTTGGTAAGTGGTCAGGTGGTAAGTGATCAGTTGGTAATTTGTTGAATCATTTGAGTACACAGCACAGTCTTGTGTAGCGCTAGGTACAACTACAGTGAAGATTCAGAAGTGTGTTCTGCATTTCCCTTCTCAAATTTCTTAAAAAAATCCTCTATAGCTAGAGTACAGCTCTCGTAATCCTCTATAACTAGAGTACAGCTCTCGTAATCCTCTATAACTAGAGTACAGCTCTCGTAATCCTCTATAACTAGAGTACAGCTCTCGTAATCCTCTAAATTAGAGTACAGCTCTCGTAATCCTCTATATAACTAGAGTTCAGCTATCGTGATCGTATATAATTCACTGGAATTAAAGCTGTCCTCATAAATTTGAACGCCTCGTGTAACGACGTCTTTCTTTAAAATTATTATGGAAACGCAGGCGTGGTAATTTTAATCATTGGTAATCTTAATCTTAAATTAAATCTTAAATTGTTTTTATATAATCAATCATACAGCAGCTTAAGACGGTTAACTTGACCTATATTTCAACGCACGTGATCAGAGTGGTAAAGTAATTCGAGGGTATTGAGGTTAAAAATAATAAATTTTAAAGTAAATTATGTAAAGGAAGTGGCAGCTTAGTTAGTGAAGTGTAAGCTAGCAAGAGGAGACGGTATTCTTGACTTATATTTCAGCTTATGTGATCAGAGTGGTCAAGTAATCCGAGGATGTTGAGGTTAAACAAAGTAGTTTGGAAGTAAATTAAGTAAAGGAAGTGGCGGCATAGTTAGTGAAGTGTAAGCTAGCAGAGGAAGGGTGAGGCAGCAACAGGAGCTTTGCTTGCTTAAGTCTCCCCGCAACTCCCGGCACCCGTGACGGTTGTGGGGCAGTAATTACGGGCATGTCTCCCGTGACATTAGTCACGCCCGTGACTATATCTTATTCTGGTCTCGAGTAACTTTACCTTATTCTAGTAACGTTGCTCTAGTAACGTTACCATATTCTATTAACGCTACCTTATTCTATTACGGTTACTCTAGTAACGTTACCTTATTCTAGCAACGTTACTTTGGTCAGGTAACATGGGTGTAAAAATAAATAATAATAAATAAGTTTTGCATTTAATGGTCCTGTTAGCCGGGGTGTCGATTCGTGAATAATGGAGATCATGCCTGAAGTAGTGATGAGCTGTGGCATGATGATGTGAGTGCAGACAAGAATGGCATGATGAGTGCAAGCAAGAGTGGCATGATGAGTGCAAGCAAGAGTGGCATGATGAATGCAAGCAAGAGTGGCATGATGAGTGCAAGCAAGAGTGGCATGATGAGTGCAAGCAAGAGTGGCATGATGATGAGTGTGCAGACAATAGTGGCATGATGATGAGTGTGCAGACAAGAGTGGTATGATGATGAGTGTGCAGACACGAGTGGCATGATGAGTGCAAGCAAGAGTGGCATGATGAGTGCAAGCAAGAGTGGCATGATGATGAGTGTGAAGACAATAGTGGCATGATGGAGTGTGCAGACAAGAGTGGCATGATGTGTGGCCACTAGTGGCAGGATGAAGTGTGTGGCCACTAGTGGCAGGATGAAGTGTGTGGCCACTAGTGGCAGGATGAAGTGTGTGGCCACTAGTGGTAGGATGAAGTGTGTGGCCACTAGTGGCAGGATGAAGTGTGTGGCCACTAGTGGTAGGATGAAGTGTGTGGCCACTAGTGGTAGGATGAAGTGTGTTAACTATGAGATATGAGGTTACTTGGTATTAATTTATTTAATTTAACGCGCCAGCCAAATTTTTAAACACCTCGTGATTCTTCGGATAGTTTGAAGTTTAAATTGACACGAGAATAGGACTTGATCCCTCAAGAAATGCTGCGTGTCTCTTGTGAAGCTTTCCTCCGTAGATTATAGGCCGTCATTAAAAATAAGGGTGGTCATATTGAATAAATATGTCTGAGAATTGTTTAGGTAATTCTTGACTACTAGCTCATCCAATAAAAAAATAATGCACCTGTTTGTTTCATTGAGAAATAACAAAAAACATGCGTTGCCATATATATGGCGGATCCTGTATACTATACTATACTATTCTATACTATGCTATACTAACAGCGTGTATTTTTGTATACTATACAAAATTTATACACGTGTAAATATTCGTGTATTCACACACTGATGATGTAGATTATTTGGTCTCATAAGAGAAAAGCTTCTGTTTCTAGTAAATAAAAAATATTCAGTTTACGAGAATCTTTTAACTCTGTTAATTAAAATCTTCCCTTCACATATCACTTTCCATGTTTCAATCCTTAATGCAAAGTTTTCAAGAGACTCAAATTGCTCTTTATTTAGTTTTTATTTAGTTCATAATACTTGTTGTGCCAGAAGCTTGCAAATCTTTCGAGTCCGCGTGTAAGTGCACTATAGAAATAAATGTTTATTCATTTTATTCACCAACATATAATAACATATTATATTTTATATTATGAGTTGGAAATTAGACAAGTTTTTAATGTTCTGCGTTGTATGTTGTTGGGGACTATTCAATAACTAAGCATTTTCTAAGCCCAAACACTTGGCCAATGATCGCAATAAAGGATGAATAAACAGTAATAAATAAAGAACTATAATAATAAATGAACGATAAATCCAAGAAAACAAAACTATAAAAACTATAAACCGTGTGTCTAGCAAGCTTTCACTTTCAACTCGTAAGAACGTCCTAAGTTCGGAGCCTCGCTGAAAAGCAAGAATAAATACAAATCAAGGACTTGAATTACCGGAACTCTAACAAATGAATATAACAGACATATAAAAACTAATATAAATAATAATATTAAATATAACCAAATAATCCACCACTATGTCAACACGAAGATCAACACGATAAATAATGCAATTAAGTACTAACCTCTGTGGCGGATCTCATATATAGCAATGACAAGTTACAGGGCGGGTCTACACGAGGTCACGTAATAGTAACTCAAAAACAAAATGACAAAAACGTAACCTAACTATCGATAAAATTATTGTATCTACAGGCGGTCCCTAACAATGTGACGTAAATAATGAACGTCTCGTGACGTCAAGAATTAAAAAGAGAGTGGATGCTTTATATATTTTAATGAGCCTCTTTAAGATACAAAAAATTGAATTCTTAGCGTGAATTTTATTTTGGATAAATGCAGTATGAAATAGCAAGCATTGCTTAATTTAATTCATTCCATTTAAATATCTGTAAAATAGAAGATGCATATATTTTTAATTAATGCAGAGTTTATGATAAGCTTGTGAACATTCGCTGCCAAATCACTGTTCACGAACGAACAAAAAAAAAGGAAGATCAGTAATAAGATCTGAGACAGATCCCTGCCATGGATCCAAGGCTATAAGATATCGCTTGATCTAAAACCAGATCTGGCACGAATAAGATCCAGCAGATCAGGTGAGATCGAGACTTGTTTGGATACGCAGAGTGATCTCAGTAGCTGCGCTGATCTTAGGTTACACGAAGATCAAGTCTCCTCTGCTTTTTGCCGTCCATATTCTACCTTTTTCCTATTAATTTCACGACATCCGTAGGAATAGCATTATGGGATGCAGGTTTCATATATTATTTTCACAATTCTGGTAATTATGACATTTTTATTGGAGGAAAAGTTTAAGTTGAACAATAGATGTGAGTAAAAGCAATTATTTTTCTGTGGTTTCGCCCTATTATTGTCGTACATCGAATAATTATTTCAAGTTCATTTTGATTTGATTCTCCTCGTTAAGCTTCTTCTGAATAATATAAGAAAAGAAGTTTGATTCGTTCATGTTTAATTTTCTTATTTATTACACCATCGTTACAACCTTTCTTGTCATGTATTATATGGTATATTACATCTTTATTGTTATTATTCTCATTATATCTACTCAGTACAGGTTAAGACCATTTACCACCTGCAGCATCAGTAATGTATGGCAATAACCAGAGAACTGGTGACAAGTTGCAATATGTTTCCTGGATTAAATGAAATAAGGATTTTCTGTTTTTTTTTCAATGCTTGTCTATTTTATTTCTAACTAAAAGATTTTCTGCGGGAAACACAAATGCCTGTCGCTCGCGATCTGATTTGACTAGAACATGTTTGCCATGCTGTTGCCAACGCTGCTGTTGCCAGGGTTGTTAGGGTTGCTGTTGTTATTGCTGTTATTGTTCTTAAGGTTTCTGTAGTTAGAGTTGCTATTGCCAGGGTCGTTAGGGTTGCTTTTGTTATTGTTGTTATTGTTCTTAAGGTTTCTGTACTTAGAGTTGCTATTGCCAGGGTCGTTAGGGTTGCTGTTGATATTATTTTTGTTGTTGTTCTTAAGGTTTCTGTAGCTAGAGTTGCTGTTGCCAGGGTTGTTAGGGTTGCTGTTGTTATTATTGTTGTTGTTGTTGTTGTTCTTAAGGTTCCTGTAGTTAGAGTTGCTGGTTTCTGGGTTTTTTATGCTTAAGTTACTATTGCTAGAGCAGCTGTTGTTAGTGTTGCTTTTGCTTAGGTTAATGTTGCTGTTACAAGAGTTGCTATTGTTAATAATTAAGGTTGATGTTTTTAGAGTTGCGGGGTTATTTATACAGAAATACTTATTTCTGTATAAATATACAGAAATAAGTATTCTGCATAATTCTGTATAAATAATTCGTAGTACAGAAATACTTATTTCTGAGCTACGCATTCTACGATTATATCAAGATAGTTTTCTGTAAACTCCTTTTATGACGTGGTAATATTTTTCTGTCTCGTACGCATTTAGTAATATTAATATATCTCTATGCCGTCAATAAGTGTCTTCCTCACGTATGTTGATTATTCGCACCCTCATGTGCATTAATCAATGTACGTTACATTTTGCTGGAAATTCAACTCACCAACAGCGTTTTCGGTTCATTGATAAATTTGTCGTGAGCTGCGGTGCTACAGAGACTTTTACAGTCCATCCTATGGGGACTTTTACAGTCCATCCTATGGAGACTTTTACAGTCCATCCTATGGAGACTTTTACAGTCCATCCTATGGAGACGTTTACAGTCCATCCTATGGAGACTTTTACTGTCCATCCTATTGAGACTTTTACTGTCCATCCTATTGAGACTTTTACAGTCCATCCTATTTCTTAAGACTGGCAGGATTCTTAGGACTGGCAGGATTCTTAAGACTGGCATGATTCTTAAGACTGGCAGGATTCTTAAGACTGGCAGGATTCTTAAGACTCGATGTTTCCTGCGGTCCTGTAGGAGAGGAGCGAGCTTCCTCTCCCTTGGGCTCTTCCGTAGCCCATTACACGACGCAGTCGCTGGGAAAGAAAGACGCGCCAACAAAACCCTGCACAGCACCAGGCCTTTTACCGTGCACTGGGTTACTTTATTTGATGTATTAACTATGAGATATGAGGTTACTTGTACTAATTTAAGTTATGCAGACACTCCTATTGAGGTGTGAGGTAACTAGGTAGTAATTTATTTAATTTAATTTATGCAGACATTCTTAGAGAACAGCTCATCTGGCTTGAGATTTTACTACACAAGTATATACCGTATTTATATGTTGTATAACGCATTATGTATAATTAACTTCAGTTCTCCCCTGTATATTGTAATGAGCTGCAGCAATCTCCCCTGTATATTGTAAAGAATCACAGCAATCTGCCCTGTATATTGAAATGAGCTGCAGCAATCTCCCTGTATATTGTAATCAGCTGCAGCATCTCCCCTGTATATTGTAATGAGCTGCAGCATCTCCCCTGTATATTGTAATGAGCTGCAGCAATCTCCCCTGTATATTGTAATGAGTTGAAGCAATCTCCCCTGTATATTGTAATGAGTTGAAGCAATCTCCCCTGTATATTGTAATGAGTTGAAGCAATCTCCCCTGTATATTGTAATGAGCTGCTGCAATCTCACCTGTATATTGTAATGTTATATAGCCCTCCTCCCTGTATATTACAACAAGCAACAATTTCTCACAATAACAATACAGTTTTTACACAAAGGTTGCTAGCGAGCTTCAATTAAGGCACAACAATCAGCTGTATCAATCATCAATCTCTCGTGACGACAATCTCGCCGCTACGTGACAATCTCGTCTCCCCGCTGGGACATCGCAGGATTGCCCGCAGCCGCTGACGGCAATCCCCGGCCGCGTATCACGGATACGCACGACTGCCCGCTATCCCTGACTCCGGAAATCTGGAAACTTCAGCAGCCAGATTGCCAGATCTGGAAATCTCGGATACCCTTTGAAGAAATCCTGACAACAGGCGCAGTTTTCACAACAGGCGCAGTGTTCACAACAGGCGCAGTGTTCACAACAGGCGCAACAGGTGCCGCAGCGTCCGCGTTTTCCGCCACCGCGGATCACGCTCGCTGACCCCTGACGCTGCATCCGCGCTCCGTGACACGCCTTCCGCACTTTGCTTCTCCTGCGGACGCAGAGCTCAGCCGCGGTAATTTCGAGAAGCTGCTATTTGTTGCTAAAGCAAGGTCTGTTCAATAAGTAAGGCCTGTTCAATAAGCAAGGTCTGTTCAATAAGTAAGGCCTGTTCAATAAGCAAGGTCTGTTCAATAAGTAAGGCCTGTTCAATAAGCAAGGCCTGTTCAATAAGTTAGGCCTGTTCAATAAGCAAGGCCTGTTCAATAAGTAAGGCCTGTTCAATAAGTTAGGCCTTTTCAATAAGCATGTTATGTTCAATAGATTCGTGTTTGTAAATGTTCCAAGTCGTTTTAGCAATTCATAAATTCCATTCTTTCCATTCCGAAGCTCATTAAAATTTTTTTACCGCTATTAAAACTATGCGGTTTGATGCCAGATTCTAAAATACGACGATGTACAGCTTCTGACCTATGAGGCTGGAGATTGTACACATCTTATTTCTATGTTAGGTGTTCAGGGAGGCCGTTTTATCACTATGTTTTATCTCCAAGGGTTTTTTTCTTCACTAGATAGAAATATCGGCCATCACTACGCATATTACAGCACATTCGGCTATATGGGTAAAGGAATTGATGCGAATTCCCAGAAATATAAAGCAATATTATATATAATTATATAATATTATCTTCGCGTAACGCGTGTCTGTAGGATATCTATTAAGTGATGTTACTAGCCCGATGCTCATTTGCTACACAATACCGTCATTGCCATCCTTATTAAGATATAATATAAAGAACACAAAGCTATCGAAATAAACGGGCGATCAATAAAAATAGTATGAACTTACTGAAAAAAATTCTGGCAACATTTTTTCGGTTCGTGAATAATAAATATATATAAATTTACCTAACTTATTAGAAGGAATCCTACCGAACATCCTCTCCCATGCAGGACAGCGGGCCAGCTGTGCCAGGGCCCAGTAAGTGTCCCTATCCTCTCCCATGCAGGACATCGGGCCAGCTATGCCAGGGCCCAGTAAGTGTCCCTATCCTCTCCCATGCAGGACAGCGGGCCAGCTGTGCCAGGGCCCAGTAAGTGTCCCTATCCTCTCCCATGCAGGACAGCGGGCCAGCTGTGCCAGGGCCCAGTAAGTGTCCCTATCCTCTCCCATGCAGGACAGCGGGCCAGCTGTGCCAGGGCCCAGTAAGTGTCCCTATCCTCTCCCATGCAGGACAGCGGGCCAGCTGTGNTGTCACCATGTCACTGTATATGTCACCATGTCACTGTATATGTCACCATGTCACTGTATATGTCACCATGTCACTGTATATGTCACCATGTCACTGTATATGTCACCATGTCACTGTATATGTCACCATGTCACTGTATATGTCACCATGTCACTGTATATGTCACCATGTCACTGTATATGTCACCATGTCACTGTATATGTCACCATGTCACTGTATATGTCACCATGTCACTGTATATGTCACCATGTCACTGTATATGTCACCATGTCACTGTATATGTCACCATGTCACTGTATATGTCACCATGTCACTGTATATGTCACCATGTCACTGTATATGTCACCATGTCACTGTATATGTCACCATGTCACTGTATATGTCACCATGTCACTGTATATGTCACCATGTCACTGTATATGTCACCATGTCACTGTATATGTCACCATGTCACTGTATATGTCACCATGTCACTGTATATGTCACCATGTCACTGTATATGTCACCATGTCACTGTATATGTCACCATGTCACTGTATATGTCACCATGTCACTGTATATGTCACCATGTCACTGTATATGTCACCATGTCACTGCAGTGTGAAGGCCGCCAGCATGTATAGGGTAGTGTGAAGGATGCAAATAAAAAATCAATTCAACATGACAACAACATAAACACAACATAATCTTGACCTGGGCACATCATGAGCACAACATAACGCAACATAATTATTACGGGAGTACTCATGAGCACAACATGAAGTGACGCCAGTGCCTTTAATGCGGCAACCACAATGAATTCAATAAAAATTTTCGATTCGTCTTGAAAAATGTCCCAGTTTAGGCAAGTCAGGCGCCTCAGACTATAGGTCGCATTCCTCAATTGAGCGCTAAATGGTCAGCCTTCGGTCTTATTGCGACTAATTTCGCAGGAAAATATCAATTTATTTATCAATTGGTATCGGCAAACTACCAATTATTGAGATAACAAGAAATTGATTTAAGAAAAAGAGGAAAGAAAATGCCACAAGAAGATAAAAGATGTAACTTGAAAAAATATAACTCAGTACTCACTGCAGTGAGTGACAGAGAGCGCCTTTTCTCGTCGACGAAAACGTGAAGTCACGGACGGACAGACAGTGAGACGGACAGACAGACGGACGGACAGACAGATAGACAGATAGACGGACGGACGGACATGACGAGCACAAAAGCGCCTTTTTTCCATAAATGAAGAAAATGCGCTAAAAAGAAGGCAGGTTTATTCATAAGAACAATACATATTTTACTCAGAAGGAAGACGGGTTACTTCATAAGAACAATAAATATCGTACTCAATATTCAACTAAGAATTGAATTATAAACAAGTTGACAACTTTGTCCCCAGGGCAGAAGGTTGTTACCTTCGCATGCAGAGCGCTGTGAGAAGACCTGGAAATCTGTTCAACTTTTCCCAGAGGTTAAGAAGAAAATCATGGATAATAAGCGAGGAAGAGCGTCGTCAGGTGAAGCCTTTCTTTCATGTGATTTCCGGCGCCATCTTTCCCGTCACATATCGCCACCGCCGCCACCGCCGCCACCGCCGCCACCGCCGCCACCGGCGCCGCCGCCACGCTGGCTTGGAAAAATTGGTATTTTCGCGTTAGTTTAAAACCTGGTACAAGGAATGGATGCCTTCAAAGTACATTGCGGTGCATGGGTTAAAAAAATTAGGGCTGAGTGGGAATTTTTTTCTTGTGCATAATTTTCATTAGGAAAATGTAGGCATTATGGCATAATTTTCTTGTGTAACACAGTTTTCAAGTGGTGTGGTTG